CCGCCTCTGGCTGCTCGGGCAGGTAAGACGCCTGCCTGAGGAACAGCAGCCGCGGGAGCTGGCGCGGGCCTACAAGGTCCTGAGCCGCGGCCTGCAAGCTGCCACGGCGCGCCAGCTCCGCAAGGCAGCCGGCCTGCGCTATGCGGCGCGCCAGGCGTCGGCGCCGCCGCCACCGGAGGCCGCTCGAGGGGGACGCCGCCCTTGCCACCGCCTAGCGAGCGCGACACCCGGGCTGCAGAGCGCGGGCCAGCTGGCCGCAGGCCCCAGACGCTTGGCGAGGCCGCCAGCCAGCGCGACCCCGCGCCCGCGGGCCCGCTGCGGAGCGCTGCTGGCTTACTGCGCCGCTGACTGCGCTGCGGCGGCTGGGCGGCGCTACTGGGGGGCACCGACGACTGCGACGCCGCGGAGAGGCGCAGGCCGGCGGCCGGGGAGGTCGCGTTCGTCTACGAGCTCCCTTGTATGCTGGCCAGAGGCTCCGGCTGGCAGAAGCCCTCACCCTCCTGGGAGTAGCTGCTTGCATGTTTCGCAGGCAGTTACCCCCGGGGGTGCCGCCCCTTGGGGTTGGGCGGCGGGGGCGTCTGCCGGCTCCCGACTATGGAGCGTCGGGCGCGCGGAAGAGACCCGCGTCCGCCGCGCCTCCTCCTCCTCCTCCTCCCTCCTCCTCCTCCTCCTCCTCCTCCTCCTCCTCCTCCTCCTCCTCCTCCTCCTCCTCCTCCTCCGCTCCTCCCTCCTCCTCCTCCTCCTCCTCCTCCTCCTCCTCCTCCTCCTCCTCCTCCTCCTCCTCCTCCTCCTCCTCCCCTCTCCCCTCCTCTCTCTCCTCCTCCTCCCCCCCCTCCTCGTCCCCCCTCGCCTGCCACTGCGCTGGTAGCCTCTCCAGGGCCTACACCTGCGGGGGCGGCCTGCGCCCCCCAGCTCGCCCCCGCGCGTGCACGGCCCTCCCGCTCCCGGGCCCCCCTCCGTGTGCCGGCAGTGCACGTGGCGTCCTAGGAGAGCGGCGCCTGCAGATCGCTGGGTTCAGGCGCCTGGGAAGGCGTAGCCACAGCAGTTGTTGTTGGTTCAGGCGCTTGGGAAGGCGTGTAGCCACTAGCCACGGCCTCACGCCCTGACGCGTGAGGCGCCGAGCCTCTGTCGTGTCGCAGCCTGGAGTCGTGCTGCAAGAAAAAAGGTTTGGGGATGCGTACTTCGTGGCAGCCGCCGGGAGAGCCCCAGAAAGGGCGGGCGCTGCTCGTGCTTGGGCAGCCGCGCCTCGCGGACGTCTTGCGGGACCGATCGCAGCCTCTGCCTCGCGGAGTTCTCCCCCAAGAAGGCGCCCTGACCTTTCACAGGCGCGGCTGCTTTTCCCGCGAGGTCTTCGCACGGCCGTGTTGGCAACACAAAGCGCATGGGGGGCACGCTCCCTGCCGTCGCGCCCGCTCCCACGGAGAGCGTCGGCCCAAGCGCTCCTTGAAGTACAGCCGGCCCGTATCAGAAGGATGCGCGAGAAGGATGCAAGTCGGGGGCGTCCAAGAGGGGGGCGTCCAAGAGGGGGGGGAGGGCGCAAATCATGGCCGGCGACATGTGCAGGGCCCGGGGTGTGGTCGGAAACGTTTTGAAATAAGAAGAGGCGCCATGGAATCTGGGGAGATTTCATGGCCCCCGCCATGATATCCACCCCCCCGAGTCATCACACCCCCCTCTTTGCCGCCCCCGAGCAAGGGCCTTGGACGCCCACTTCGAAGCTTTTCGAGCGGGACGCGGCCAACAAAAGTGGCAAGTGGCCAAGGATGGGCCGAGGAGGCAAGGATGCAAGGGTAGCCTTGGGAAGGTTGCCCATCCTTGCTATGCGGGCGGACTGTGCTGCCGCCGCCGACTTTCATAGACTGGTTGGAGCTTGCTTGTGGGCGACATCGTGGGCGGGATCTCGGGAGAGGGTGGCGTCAGGACTCTCGAGGCCCTGTCCTCGGACAGCGCACGACGCGTCCGAGAAGAGCGAATGGTGGCACTGCACGCGCTTCGCTCGAGGGGGCAGGGCTCCCATCAGGGAGGTGAGAAATAGCTGCTGATGTAGAGCACTGAGGGCCGAGGACTGTCCGCCCCAGCTTGCCTTCATACAAGCATTGCCGTTGGCACGGTGAGTAGGTTAGCTCCCGCGCGCACGGCACCCGGCCTCTGTCCTGCTTCTCTCGCCTGGCGCAAGGTTGTATGATCTTCGTGCTTCACCACAGCTTGACTGCCTACACTGTTGACGCAGCGCAGTATCAGTATCCTCCTCCTCCTCTTCCTCCTCCTCCTCCTCCTCCTCCTCCTCCTCCTCTTCCTCCTCCTCCTCCTGCATGCACTTCCTTTTATTCGCTCTCCGCTCCTCCTCCTTCTCCTCCTCTTTCTCCTCCTCCTCCTCCTCCTCCTCCTCCTCCTCCTCGCTCCTGCTACTACCAATCCCCTTACCGAACCTCCTCCCCATCCCCCATCGTCCCCCTTCTCAGCTTGCGCCTCGAGGGAGATCCCCGAGTCCGCAGATCGCATCGGCGAGGACTCACATTGGATCCGACAGGGCCCCGCCGATCTGAGGAGAACAGGCGATGCGGACGGCCGAGAGGGCGGGCCAGCTCCCGCCCAAGCTGCTCGGCCTGGCCGGCCGACGGAAGGTCTTCGCGGAAGCTCGGGGGGAGGCCCATGAGGCGGAGGCCTTTCTGATGTCCGGGGACGTCGGGGCAGCGCCCGGGGAAGTCCCGGGGGGCACAGCAATCCGTTTGTCACCACCATCCTGTTGTGTTCGGTCCTCGCTGCGGAGAGACAGCGCCCCGCGTCTCCTACTCGTTCCTCCGCCCCCTCCTCCCTCCTGCCCCTCCTTGCCTCTGCCCTCCGCATCCCACCTCGGCAAACCCAGTACAGCGCTTCGTTGCCCCATAGGGAGCTCCACCAAAGGCCTCAGTGGCGGTGTTCGCATGCGATTCCCCCACCCAATACAGCGCTTCGTGGCCCCATATGGGGAGCTCCACCGAAGGCCTCCCCCCCACCCAGTACAGCGCTTCGTGGACCCATAGGGAGGTTCCACCGAAGTATAGGGAGCTCCACCGAAGGCCCCACTGGCGGTGTTCGCACGCGTCTCCCCGGCCCAGTACAACACTTCGCAGCCCTCTAGTGAGCTCCACCAAATACCCCTGTGGCGGTGTTCACACGCGTTCCCCCCGCCCAATGTAGCGTTCCGTGGCCTCATACGGAATTTCATCAAATGCCCCAGTGGCGATGTTCCCATGCGCCTCACCCGCCCAATATAGCGCTTCATGGCCCCATAGGGAGCTCCACAGAAAGCCCCAGTGGCGGTGTTCGCATGCGCTTCCCCCACCCATTACAACGCTTCGTGGCCCCATAGGGAGCTCCACCGAAGGCCCCAGTGGCAGTGTTCGCAAACGTTTCCCCCGCCCAGTACATCGCTTCGTGACCCCATCGGGAGCTCCACCGAAGGCCCCAGTGGCAGTGATCGCATGCGTCTCCCCCACCCAGTACAGCGCTTCGTGGCCCCATAGGGAGCTCCACCAAATAACTCTGTGGCAGTGTTCGCATGCGTCTCCTCCACCCAGTACAGCGCTTCGTGGCCCCATCGGAAGCTCCACCGACCGAACGCCCCATGGTGGCGGTGTTCACATGCGTCCCCCCACCCAGTACAGCGCTTCGTGGACACATCGGGAGCTCCACCGAAGGCCTCAGTGACGGTGATCGCATGCGTCTCCCCCACTCAGCACAGCGCTTCGTGGCCCCGTACGGACCTCCACCGAAGGCCCCAGTGGCGACGTTCGCATGGTGGCCCCCCTCCATGTCGTCACACCCCTCGCACGTTTCGTGGCCCCACGTGGGTGGAACGCAGCCGAAGGCGCCAATGGCTGCGCCCGCATGCGTCCCCGCCCCATTTCGGCACACCCTTTACACGCGTCGTGGCGCCACGAGAAGATCCACCGAAGGCGATACCCACAACGGCGAGACTCACCACTGCATGTGGTTGGGCCCCTCGCCAAGATAACGTCGCACTGTGGCCACAGGTGCACGACAGTGCTCACAGGACGCGACTGCTGGCTTACCCGAGCGCTCGGCCGGGGGTCTCCGTGAGCACCGACTGCCGCCAGCTCCCCGCTACCCCGCCTACCAGGGGCAGCCGCTCGGGGAGGAAGTGCGGGGAAGCCCAGGGGTGGTGGAAGCACGGGGCGCACGCAAACCTTCGGGAAGGAGGAGAGGGGGGGCCGGGCCGGGCGGCCGAGGAGCATGGAGGCAGAGAACGGGTGCGGGCGTTGTCGGGGCCCGGGGGAGCTCCGCTGCGAGCTGGGACCCCAACCTGGCATCTCGCACCCCTGGCCTGGGCGAGACACCCCGGCACCGAGTGGGATGAGGGGGAGGAGGGAGAGGGGAGGAGGGGGAGTGGAGGAGGGGGAGGAGGGAGATGATGATGATGATGATGATGATGATGATGATGATGATGATGATGATGATGATGATGATGATGATGATGATGATGATGATGATGATGATGATGATGATGATGATGATGATGATGATGATGATGATGATGCTGATGCTGATGCTGATGCTGATGCTGATGCTGATGCTGATGATGATGCTGCTGCTGCTGATGAGGAGGAGGAGGAGGAGGAGGAGGAGGAGGCCGCCCCCGCGGAGTCCACGGCCGGAGAGAGCGAAGACGCCGCGCCGACGGGCTCGCCTCTGGGAGTGAGCGCCGAGACTACAGTCGGGGCGTTGACCTAAGGAGCCCTAAATAAGGAACGGGGCCCCATTTCTCCCATTAGTTGAGCTTCGATTTCCCATGGAAGACCTCAGGAAAACAGAAGGCAAACTGCAGAACAATCAAGGAACACCTAGCCCCTCCCCAACGAAAAGGGTTCCTTCTTCAGGGCCCCGACTGTAAGCTCCAGCCATGCGCGCCTTCCGCGGCCGACCAGGGCCCCACGCGGGCTCAGACAGTGTGGCGTGTGTGAGCACCGCGGCGCGGGCGCGCAACTAAGGCCGCGCGCCCTCGGCGGTGTCGACGATCTTGTTGCAGACCCGGTCCATGAACTCTCGGTCGTGCGAGACGACCACGACAGGAATGTCCTGGGCATTGCGAGGGCGTTCCTCTGACTGGCTAGCAGGATTGCCTAGTAGAGCAGCTCCGAAGGCAAGCCTCAACTGCAGCAGGACAAGCAAGCAGCGTGGTGCGGGGGCGCGAGCTCGGGCCTCGCTCACCTAGGCACCCCTGGGAATGTCCTGGACCCAGACTCCCGACGCCGTGACTCTTTCGCGACGTGGACCCCCACAAACGTCTGGACCCCGTCGTGGGGGCCGGCTTTTCAGCCCGAGCGGTTTGGTGATGGCCCTGGGCCTTGCGAGGGCCCCCTGAGGCCGCAAACAACCAAAAATTGGCGACGAGCCCAGGGGAGGAGTGAGGGGGGCAGGACTTCTGAGAAGGCGGCGGGGCTTCTCAGAAGCCTTCGGGCCTTCTGAGAAGCCGTGTCTGTCTCCGGAGAAGGCTTCCAAAACTTCTGAGAACAACAGCGGCTCTGAGAAGGCCCGCCCCCTCTGACTTCCCCCCTGGGCTCGCCGCCGAAAAACCTCCCGTCGTGATTTTTGATGACGACGCGAGGGGGTCTGGGGAAGAGGAAATAAGTGCATAAACATAAACGTTCGATGGTCCGCGCGGATTTCTTGGATCTGCGCTGTACCGCACTCCCTGGCGCGCGGAGCGCGCCAGTGGCGGCGCCGGAGGCGCCGCCAGGATGGCCCAGCCCAGATACAAAAATTCCTCGCGAAACTCCGAACAATTATGCTTACCCGCCAGTCGGAAGAGACAGGTAGAAACATGGCATAGGAAGGCGGACAGAATAGATTGGGTCGCCCAGAGAATCACAAAACGTAGCAAAGTCGGATCGATGATTGAAGCAGGACGGCGCTCCATCGGGGCCTGGGCATCCGAGAAGCCGCCGCCGTGCCGCTGGGCACGGACCGGGCGTGTCCTGAGGTCCTCTTTGCCCCTTCCTCGGAGCCCCACTCCTCGCTTCCGAGGAGCCTTCGCGCCTCACTCCTCTCTGCCCAATCCTCTGAGCCTCACTTCTCTTTGCCCAATCCTCTGAGCCTCGATCCTCTCTGCCCAATCCTCTGAGCCTCGCTCCTCTTTGCCTGATCCTCTGAGCCTCCCTCCTCTCTGCCCAATCCTTCGAGACTCGCTCCTCTCTGCCCAATCCTCTGAGCCTCACTCCTCTCTGTCCAATCCTCTGAGCCTCACTCCTCTCTGCCCAATCCTCTGAGCCTCGCTCCCCTTTGCCCAATCCTCTGAGCCTCGCTCCCCTTTGCCCAATCCTCTGAGCCTCGCTCCTCTCTGCGCAATCCTCTGAGCCTCCCTCCTCTTTGCCCAATCCTCTGAGCCGCACTCCTCTTTGCCTAATCCTCTGAGCCCCACGCCTCTTTGCGTAATCCTCTGAGCCTCGCTCCTCTTTGCATAGTCCTCTGAGCCTCCCTCCTCTCTGCCCAATCCTCGGCCTTCAGGGTGCCGGATCCTCTGAGCCCCACTCCTCACTTCTGAGGCGTCTTCGAGCCTCGCTCCTCTCTGCCCGATCCCCTGAGCCTCCTCTCTGCCTAACCCTCAGCGAGCTCCGGAGCTTCGGCGAGGGCGCGGCGCGTGCCCCCCCGGGGGCCTCGGCGCGTGCCCCCCCCCCCCCCGCACCTCGTCGAGAGGCTTCCCCCTCGGGGCCCCCCGAGAGAGGGCCCCGAAGCCTGGCCGAGAGAGAGCCCCCGAGGGGCCTCCCAGGAAGGGGCCCTGGGACACAGAAGTGCATACACACAAAAACAAAAAGGATTCCCCATAGTTTCCCATAGCTTCTGGGCGTTTGTCTTCCCCTCCTGATCCCAGGACGGCCCAGGAGGGCCCCGAGCCGCCGAACGCTCTTAAGGTGTCCCCCAGACGGCCCAAGAGGCCCAAATCATGGATTGTCCCAAAATGTTCGGTGGAGTTTGGCGTTCTCGCCGTTTCGGCTTCCCGACGCGCCCAAACGGCCCTAGAGGCACCCAAACACCGCCCTGTGACCGCCCAAGAGGCCTTCAAGAGGTGCCCAAAACGACCCAAGGGGGACCCAAGACGGCCCCGAAGGGAGCCCAAGAGAGAGAACACGAACTGAAAATCCGAGTCTTCCGCCCCAAGAGGCGCCCAGGAGGCCACAAGAGGCGACCAGGAGACCCCAAGAGGCCTCCAAGAGCCTCCAAATCACCGATTTCCCTGAATGAGTTTGACGTTCCCGCCATTTCGGCTTCCCGATGCTTCGAAACGACCCTCGAGGCTCCCCAAACCGCCCCCAAACCGCCCCCCAAGAGGCCTCCAAGAGGGCTCCCAAACGGCCCAATTGGGCCCCAAGACAACCCAAGAGGTGCTCAAAACGACCCAAGAGGGACCCAAGACGGCCCCAAAAGAGGCCCAAGAGAGGGAACACGAACTGAAAATCCGAACCTTCTGCCCCAAGAGGCGCCCAGGAGGCCCCAAGAGGCTAGACGCAAAAGAGGCCCCAAGAGGCCCCGAAACTGCCCCCAATAGGCCTCCAAACTGCCTCCGAGAGGCCCCCCAAGGGCCCCCCACGAAATCCCAACGAACATCCAATAGGCTTCATGCCCACAACCCAGGCACGGTGGCGGGATGGGCCGAAGGCTATTGAATCCGCCGCCCCCTGTCAGTTCATCGCAGGGGATTTCCAAACCGATTCGGGGAACACATGGTCCGATAGCTTGGCAGGCCTCTGGCCACAACGTTCGGCCACACAGGCGCTTTCAGAAAGGCAGGGGGCGGCGGTGATTCGCCGTAGGCGTCTTCGATCCGCCGCCCCCTGTGCTTGCCACAGGGGTGCCTGGTATGCTGAACCCCATGCGATTTGGTTTGGGCTCTTCTTCCCACAAAACTCCCTCGGGGGCTTCGGCTCATGCGCAGGGGCCACGCGCAAGGCCGCACAGACGGCCCCAGCGTCCACAGAAGTGCCGTGTGGCGTACCGAACCCAGTGGCATCAAGTGACAAGAGGCGCCGACCCAAACTTGCCAGGGCAATCGCGGTGCAGGCGCCGTTATACGTTGTGCAAGCTGCATGGATGCAGCGCTGCCTGCGCCATGTCGCCGCGGCGCTCGACGAATCCTTGAACCTGCTGATGATTAGTGCTAGAAGCGAGCTTATAGGCCGACCTCGCCCGCCAGCTCCTGTGCTTCCTGCTTGGAGACCCCGGAACTCGAAACAACCCCCAAGTAACAGGAACAAGCGTCTCTCGCTGGGCACCAGGGATGGCGAAGTTTCCTAGCAATCCGCATAAGACGTCACTCCGCTGCACCACCCAACAGCCCTCGAAAGTGGCAACAATTTCGCTGATCACAGCCCCCCAGGCATGGCGAGGTCTCCTGGTGGTCCGCGTAAGACGTCCCTCCGCTGCACCCCCCAGCAGCTCTCGAAAGTGTCGACAGATACATATTTCGCAGCTCCCCAGGGATAGCGAGATCTCCTGATAATCTGCGTAGCACAGCAACACTCGAAAATGGCGACGGTTTCGCAGATCGCAGCCCCCCATGGATGGCGAGGTCTCCTGGTGATCCGCGTAAAACGTCACTCCGCTGCACCACCCAGCAGCCCTCGAAAATGACGACAATTTCGCACATCGCAGCCCCCCCAAGGATGGCGAGGTCTCCTGGCGGTCCGCGTAAGACATCACTCCGCTGTCCCCCAGCAGCCTTCGAACGTGGCGACAGTTCCGCACATCGCAGCCCCCCAAGGATGGCGAGGTCTTCTGGTGGTCTGCGTAAGACGTCACTCCGCTGCCCCCCCCGGAGGCCTTCAAAAATGTCGACAGTTTCGCACGTCGCAGCCCCCCAGGGATGCCAAGGTCTCCTGGTGATGCGCGTAAGACGTCACATACGCTACTACACGTACGTGCGCCTGTCTGGCACGGCGAGGGGTTCTCGCCTAAAGGGCTCACATGCAGTGCTGAATTTGCATGCTCATCATCGCTAGCTTAGAGCAGACGCGCTACTTCGCGACCGCCAGCAAAACATGTCACACTGCATTGCCTGCCAGGCACTAGTGCTGAGCTCGGTCTGGTCGCAATGCCATATACCTACTGGCAACGTTACCTGTAGAATGCGGTTGCGCTCGTCTAAAGTGCTATAGCGCAGGCGATATGCTGAACCACATGTTGAAGCCACGAAGCTGTTAAGCATGGCTCACAGAGTTTGAGGGCGCCGTGCGATTGCCTTGTGTGCGACAGCGCTTGTCCCTTATCCCTCCGTCCCTGTCTTACTAAAACCTTGATCGATGGTATGGCTAACTGGCGACACGCAGCAGATTGGAGCAACCGGTGCCTGATTGATGAGGAAGGTCTCGAGCCACTCGACGCTCTCCAAGTCCAGGTGATTGGTCGGCTCGTCCAGCAGCAACACGTCAGGGGAGTTCATGAATATCTTGGCAAGCCCCATTCGCACCTCTGCGGGCGACGCGGATCCAGGCGGCGAGCCGAGACTTGGCGGCGAACGTGAGAAACAGCGAGCCTTCTCGGAAGGCTCGGAAGTCCTCCAGCCCTCCGAGCAGTTTTCGAAGCCTCCCCCGAAGGCTCGGAACACTTCTCAGAAGGCGCGAGGGCTTCTGAGAAGTCCCGCCGCCTTCTGAGAAAGCCTTCTCCTTCTCACTTCCACCCCTCGCTCGCAGCCGAAAGACACTCCTCCTCCTCCTCCTCCTTCTCCTCCTCCTCCTCCTCGTCCTCCTTCTCCTCCTCCTCCTCCTCCTCGTCCTCCTCCCCCTCCTCCTCCTCCTCCTCCTCCTCCTCCTCCTTCTCCTCCTCCTCCTCCTCCTCCTCGTCCTCCTCCTCCTCCTCCTCCACTTCCACCCCTCGTGGCTTCAAGATCAGGGCCCCATATGAAGGGGCCCTAGGACACACACACACACACATAAATACACACAAATAAAAGGATTCCCCATATTTTCAAATATTTTCTGGGTTTCTGCCTTCCCCCCCACTTCCCATATTTTCCCATATGTTCTAGGGAATCGACGAATAATTGTGCCTGTGTGTTTTTTTCCCCTCCTGACCATATCGGCGGCGAGCGAGAGGGGGAAGTGAGAAGGAAGGCCTTCTCTGAAGGCGGCGGGACTCCTCAGAAACCCTCGCGCCTTCTGAGAATGTTTTCAGCGTCTCTGGGGAAGGCTTCGAACATTTCTCAGCAGGCGGGAAGACTTCCGAGCCTTCTGAGAAGGCCCACCCTTTCTTGCTTCCACCCCGGGCTGGTCGTCGACCGTAGACGGAGACTTTGACAAATCAGGGCGTTGTGCACGACCGAGAAAACTGCAGCTGTGGATCAATCATTCTCCATTGCTCGTTCTCTCCAGCTGGAGTTTCCAAAGTCCTGGCTTGAAATGTCCTGGCTTCAGGGGCCTTAACAAGATGGCCCCCCGATTGCCCCCCGGTTGCTCCAAGATGGCGCAAGATGAGCCGAAGTTGGCCCAATAACATGCTTGCAAGAGGCTCCAGGAAGCACGCAAGATGGCCCTAAGGTGGACCCCGAGGCACTCAAGGATTTTTGAATCACTGAAGCTCCCGAGAGGGTTCAACGAGTTCCATTTCTTACCACTTCGCCTAGCGATCAGTCTCGGTCGAGATCCCCCTATGATGCACAAAATCAACCCAATCAGGGCCTGAAAGGTCCCCAAGATCACCCAGAGAAAATCTCAAAGTAGCCAGCCAAACGAGGTGATTTTCGAGATTCTCAAGGGGGCCAATGATGAACCCCTCCTTTCGGATCGCCCCAACAGGGCTCCATAAAGACTCCCAACCTAAAGGGGCCCCAAGAGACATCGAAGTGAGCCCCAGAGGCTTGCAAACTGGCCCGCGGGCTCCAACAGGCCCCCTATGCAGCTTCCAGAGGCTCGAAGAGGCCTCCAACTGCTTCCAGAAAGCCCGCGAATCAGCTTCCGAAGGCTGACTCTTCTTCTGGCCTAACGGGTGTCCTTCCTCTTCGCTCCTCCGGTGACCATCCACCTCCCCTCTCACAACGGATCGCCTGCGAATCCTTTCTGGATGGGCCAGTGGTAGCCTCGCCATCGCTCGGACGTCCATTCATCATGTTTCGGCTTCTTGCGTGTATTTGTTCGCAAGATGTCCCAGAATGCTCCTCGATGGTTCTTGCCGAGAGGAAGAAACACGACCGAGCCATGCCAAGTAGCTGCAGAGCCAAGCATACCGTGAGGAACTTTTGGGTAGCGTGTCGCGGCGGCGGCCCCGGCGACACGAAGAGGAGGAGGATGGAAAGCAGAGCCAGGAGGAGGAGGAGGAACAGGAGCCCCCCCCAATCTCCTCCCACACAACTGCAGAAACCAGGCGGCGGCCCCCCTCCCCCTTCTGCGGGGAAGCCATGCGCCGAGCATCGCTCTTCTCTCTCTCTCTCTCTCTCAGAGGAGTCCAGGGGGGACACAAACCAATCGGCACAACTCCCTAGATCTCGAATCGGGCTCCATGTGCCGTGGAGTCTCCAGCCACCCTCGGCTCCTCGAGAGCCCACGGGGACACAGACTGATCGGCTCAGATCCCAAGATTGCAGATCGCCTTCCAGGTGCCGTGGAGGCTCCGTACCCCCTCCAGTTCTCAGACTCCCCTGCGGCACCGTGCACATGCGCCTTGCTCTGCGCCTCTCCGTGGCGGCCTGGCCCTCTCCCGATCGCTGCCCTCCCATCCTCGCTGTGCCTTCTGCCCCCTCGTGCCCCGGGGGCCACTCCTGACTACCTACCAGACCACCCCAACCCAACCCGAAGACCCGAATTTCGGGCTGGGGGGGGCAAGGGTTCCACACGTGTTTTTTCGATGTTTCCCGACCCCCCCCCCACTGGAAATCGAGGGTAACTCTGAGCCTTCGGGTTGGATTGGGGTGGTTTGGTGGGTGGTGAACTCCGTCGCCCGCAATGGCCGCCCTGCCCCGGGGCGCCGGGCGCCGCCTCCCGGGGGAGCGACGAAGAGAGGGGGGGGGGGCGGAGCAGCGTGCACCCCTTGCGCGCCCCGCTTGGGGCCCCACTGTGAGGCCCCCTCCGGGCCCCGAGCTGCACGAAAGCTGCACCTGGCCATCGCTCGGACGTCCATTCCCTGTGCTTTTTTCGGTTTCGTGCGTGGTTTTTTCCCCAAATGGTCAAGGATGCTCCTCGATGGTCCTCGCCGAAAGAAAAATGCACACGTCCGAGCGATGCCAAAGCACGTGTCTGCGCCGCCCCCGGTTTATCGCCCCCGGGGGGGGCACCGCCCGAGGTGCCCCCGGGGACGGGGCGGCGAGGACAGGACTGCTCCCGCCTCGGGACCCTCGAGCTGGAGACGGCCGACGACGACGCTGGCCCAGTCTTGCCCGTCCTCGCCCAGGGGGCCAGGGAAGGGATACAGTCGAGGTCCTGCCAGAAGGAACGCCAAATAAGGAACACAAGGACTTTTCTGGCCACGGTGGGCCTAGGCCACAAGCAATTCCCGCGACAGAAATCTAGGAAACGGCCCAAATCCCCGAGCCCCTTCTGAACCCAGAGCGGTCCTTATGTCAGTGTCTGGACTGTATGGCACGGCCAAGCGGCTGCAGCAAGGAGTGCAGGGACGCGGAACAGAGAACAGAGCCCCTTTATTGGCTCTGGCTTCGGCACCAGAAGGTCCTGGGTGCACGGGGAGGGCCAGAGGAACAAGCGAGGAATGACCCAAGGAACAGCGGGCCCCCTCCGAATGCAACGCGATCCTATTGTTAGGTCGGGCATGTCCCCCATGCAGGCCGATCTTCGACGAAAAATACGAAATACTCGAATCATACTCAGAAATGATCGAAGCATCCTCGAAAATCCGTCCCCAGACGATGTTATTCTACTACTCTTGAATATTCCCCCTGTGGAGGGGCAGGCCCGACTTCATCCTGAAGCCACTCGATGCCAGGCTAAGCCAGGCCGCGCACGGGCCGGGCGGGCCCGGTAGGGCGCCAAACTCGACCCCACCAGGGGGAGCCCCCCAGCGCCCGCGAGCGGGCGCCTCACGGATACGAACGCAGCTCCCTCTCATCAGGCAAGAGGGGCCCAGGGAGCACGGGAGCTCCAGACGGTAGCGACGGCGCTGGCCGAGCGGAGCTGGCGAGATCGCAAGTGGACCTGGCGCGACGCTTCGACGAGCTCCCCGGTGCCTCTGCCCCCGTGGGCGCCGACCTTGCATGACTGGGCTGTGGGCAAGTGTATGGCAAAGCTGAGAGTGTGGCAATCAAATCAGATCGTCGGCTCCCAGCCTTAGCCACTTGCGTTTGGTTCACAGGTCTCTTCTGCAGGAGTCCACCTAGCCCACCGAGTGTGCAAACATTCCCACAGAGGCTCTCGATCAGACGAAGGCAGCTGACCATCAGAGTGAGGGGGCCGAACGGTCCTTCATTGTCCCTGGGTGCGTGGCTGGATAAAGAATTCGTGGTGAAAATTATGCTTGCGTTGTTGTTGTTGTTGTTGTTGCTGCTGTTTGTTGTCGTCGTCCCACCCGCGACCCACCCTCGAACCACCCCGCGACCCACCCCGCGACCCACCCCGCGACCCACCCCGCGACCCACCTCGCGACCCACCCGCGACCCACCCCGCGACCCACTCGCGACCCACCCCGCGACCCATCCACGACCCATCCGCGACCCACCCGCGACCCACCCGCGACCCACCCTCAAGGGAGGAACAACCACCCAGACCCGACAATTGACGTTTACTAAACGGCTCTGGGCGTTGACTAAACAGCCCTGCCCTGTTCGATTCACTCCTTGTGTGCGTTTACTAGACGGCTTCGCTTGTCGGGGTGATTATTATGGGGTGGATTTTCTGCCCTCTACACCCGCGACCCAACAGTGACCCACCCGCGACCCATGTGCGACCGACCCGCGACTAACCCACATTGGTTTAACGAAAATATCGGCGCCTGCGGCGGGCTCGTTGAATAATTTGTGAAACTGTGGCGCCTGCTGCGGGCTTCTCCCGGGTCTCGCAAATTGTAAACGTCCCCCACCGCCCCCTCACTCTTGTCCGCATCTGCGGGGCGCTACGTATTAAGCATCTTGAGTGTCAAAGCACAGGTCTGCTGCTTCTCGTACACTAGTGTAACACATGTTTGCAACATGTTTCCAACATCTTCGGGTGAGCCTCCGGGAGCTCGAAAATGCTCGCCGACACGGTGTCGGCGACGGCACATACAGTGCCGTTTTTAATACATGCTCCGCGTGCGGATCATGTATTAACAATTCAGGGATTTACTATCAAAAACAAAGATGAGTTCATGCATAAAGTTATTCCTAAAATAATCATGTATCACACATCCTACACTTTTACAAATCTCATGTGTCAAAAACTGCCCTGTGCACTGGGAGCTGCTTTGGAGCTGCTTCTCCCTTTTCCGACGGGTCCAGGTTGCCAGTCTGCGCGCCTGGGGGGAGACTAGAAGGGGCGGGCCTTCTCGGAGGGCTCGGAAAGTTGTTCTAAGCCTTCCCCGGAGACACGGAGCACTTCTCAGAAGGACTGAGGGCTTCTGAGAAGTCCCGCCGCCTTCTGAGAAGGCCGTCTCCTTCTCACTTGCCCACCTTGCCCGCCGCCGAGTCGCCCCCAACTTCTCCAAGACAAAGTGGCAGGGAAAGGGCGACGGTGGCCTGCCGAAGGCAAGGAACAGCATCACGGCCCAGACCAGCTGAGGGTCTCAAGCGTTTGCAGGCCCTCAGCGAGCCACACCGATGGGCCCCCTGACGGCGACATGGAAGGGACAGCTTATCATTCAGCAAGCTTTAGTGGCGACGTGTGCGCCTCTAAAACCATGCCAGCGAGTTTGCTTACCGAGATGGCTCGCCTCTTGGCGGTCGGGAGCTTTCGCTCAGCGTGTCGCCACGGCGGCCCGGGCGACACGCTGTGAACTGCGAGCGGATGGCGCGGCGCTCGGGATCGCGGCTCTGAGAGGCTTCGAAGGGCTTTGGGGGGCTGACGCTGGGGGCCGGGAAGCGGGCAGCGCGTCGCGCCGAGGCGTGGTGGGCCAGAGCCGGCGGAGCGTCACGCCATCCAAAGGCTCCCGACCGTGAAGCCATTCCGGCGCGCTCGCTCACCGATGTGGCCCTCCTCCGTGGGCACTGCTCCCCGCTTTGGACGCCCGAAATGGGTACGGAAAGAATGGGTACAATGCCCAACAGCAGTTCCAGCCCATTCTGAACAGGACTCGCTGTCGGTGTCGCCGCGACCCGTGCCCATTTGAGACAGAAGGCCGCCTGCCCAACAGCGGCCGCTGCTGGCTTGGGACAACCCTTGCTGTTGAGCACTGTACCGATTGTTTCCGTACCCATTTCGGGCGTCCAAACCCGCGTCGCCCCCCAGAGGGCGAAGGGCCGGCTGGTCGGGACTGAAAGGAGGGCGCGACGTGCGACAGGGGCCTGTTGCGCCATTCCCCCCCTGCTCGGGGGCGGCCAAGGAGGGGGGCGCCTCCACGAGGGTGGTTCGAGAAGCACGGTCCGAGGCACGTGCGGGGCCCAGAAGGGGGGCCAGGGGGCGCACAGCCGAAAGTACAGGCCTCGCAAAAAAATAAGCGAACACTCATGCCACATTCATCTGTGAACGCCTCCCCCTCCCCCCAAATGTTCAAAGTTGGCGGTGGGTCTGATGAGTTGCACCTCGACCGCAGTCTCCCCCCCGCGTGCCAACTTTGACTTTGGGGGGCAAGGGGGGTGTTCACTAATTGTTTCCCTCTACCGTATGATCACGAAAATCATCGCTTAAGAGACCTGGGCCATCTTTCCGAAGTCGATGCCAACAAACCTGGGCCACCTTTGTTTGTCCACGCTGGAGGGATGAACGTGCTGAAGAAGCTGGGCCAGCTTTCGAGCAAGTTTGATAAGAAACGCTGGCCCAGCTTTTCGGGAGGAGGTTTCTCAATCAGATGTCCGACCGTTCTGACATAAGGAGATGCGCCATGCCGTCGGCGGAAAAGTCATGGCTCTGGCCATGATGTCCACCTCCCTTACTCATCACCCCCCCTCTTGGCCAACCCCGACCTTCCATGTCCTGAGGGAATTGGTTCCTGGACCCCGGGGCCTTCCCCGAAGACCACTTGCTCCTCCTGAGCCGTTTTCTGACAGGTCCCTGGGTCCGTGGAGGGCCCCAAGAGCCCGAAAACGGAATAACAACCTGAGGAACTGTTTCCCTCAGGACCCGCTTCCCCCAAGGGCGGTTCCATCCGGCCCGGTGCCTTCCAGCCGCCGGAGAAGTTGCCGACCTTCAAGTCCAGATCCGAATCCAGGAACCCACACTGTAGCGTCGGATGGATCGAGAAAAACATAAGGCATGACGATACTGATTTAGGCCCAGAAGCCAACAACATAAGTCGGATAGGCGCAGCGGATCAAGAGAAGCAAAAGAGACCATCGTGAACATGCCAGCCCTAACGGGCACAGAGCATACGCCTGCCATACAGTACGGTGGAGGAGGGTGAGATCATGCATCATGACTCCTCTGAGCGGGGAGATAACTCCTCCTCCAACTCCAACTCCAGCTCACTCCTCCAACTCCAACTCCAGCTCACTCCTCCTCCTCCTCCTCCTCCTCCTCCTGCTCCGCCTCCTCCGCGCTTCAACGCCATTCGTTACTGGGCAGGGGGAAAAGCTCAGGGGACGCACGGGGCGCCACTGCGAGTTACCCGAGCTCGAAGAGCACCCCTGAGTGGCCCCCTATCCAATGAATAGCCGGGCGACAGTGGCCCAGGATCGTATGCCCTACCATTCAGAGCAAGCGCGGGCCTTCCCAGGAAGGTAGGCCCGTGTGGGCCAGGATGCATCCGCACATCGTGCCTGAAGCTGGGTTGCCCATCCCTGTCGGTGGACAGGCATGGGCACCCCGTCCTCGCAGCGAGGAGTTCGCTCGCACGCAAAAGGTTGGTCCGCATCTGCCGCAGCTGAACGGCCAAATTGCCGCTGCGGACATGGCACTTGCGCCACTGACGTCGATCAGCAGGCACCGTGTTGGCCTGGATGCCCACACCTGTCGATGTACGGGCATTGGAATCCGCTCCTTGCGCCTGAAGCTAGGATGCCCATCCCTGTTGGTGGACTAGCATGGGAATCCCGCCCTGGCAAAGAGGATGCGCTGAGCACCAGGAATGTTGGTCCGCCTTAGCGGCCGCGAGATGGCAAAGTTGCCGTTGCGGGCACGGCAGCCTCTGACAGTTACTTCGTACCACGCCCGAGCACGAATATGACGGAATCTCGGGCCGCCAGCCCCCACAACTGGCGGCGTTCAGAAGAGACCGCGTTGGCCTGGATGGCCACCTCTGTTGCGGGACAGGCACTGGGCTCCGGCTATCGTGCCTTCAGCTGGGATGCCGATCCCCATCGGTGGAGGGGCATGGGCATCTCACCCCCCAGAGGAATGTTTTGCCCCGGCGCAGGGGATTCTGGTCCGCATCTAGGGAAACAAAAAGTCACATAAACATAAAAACTCGGAGGTCCGCGCGGATTTCTCGGATCGGCGCTGGACCCCCCTCCCCGGCGAGCGGAGCGCGCCAGGGGCGGTGCCGGAGGCGCCGCCGGGGGGCCCCAGCGCCGATCCGAGAAATCCGCGCGGACCTCCGAGTTTTTATGTGTTTATGCAACTTGTTGTTCCCCTCGCACCTGCGGCCGCGAGACGGCCACGCTGCCGCGGCGGGCGCGGCACGTGCGCCGCCGTTAAGGAGTTCCGCAGGCGCCGTGTGCTGGCCCGGGAGCTCCTGCTGGTCGATGGGCAGGCAGGCGCGGGGCTCCGCTCCTCGTGCCTGCCGCCAGGATCAGTGAAGGGGCCCCAGGACACACAAATAAATACACACAAATAAAATATTCCCCAGATTTCCCCATATTTTCTGGGTTTTTGTCATCCCCCCACTTCCCATGTTTTCCCATATTTTCTAGGGAATCGACGATTAATTGTGTCCGTGTGTTTTCCCCCTCCTGAATCAGGTCGGGCGTGTCCCCCTGCAGGCGGAGTCTGGACGAAAACTGGCACATGCCCAACTGAACCATGTGAAACAGGACCCAAAAGAGTGGACGAACTCGTTCCCCCGAGTAGTTGTGGACTACCTGGGAAGATTCCTCCTGCAGAGGGAGACAGGCCCGACTTAAAGCTGGGATGCCCCTCCCTATTGGTGGAGAGGCATGGGCATCTCTCGCAGAGAGGATGCGCTGGGACACCGGAGGAGCCGCTCCGCCTTCATTTGGGGAACGAAGAATGACATAAACATCAAAACTCGGAGGTCAGCGCGGATTTCTCGGATCGGCGCTGGCCAGGGGCGGCGCCGGAGGCGCCGCCAGAGGGCCCCAACGCCCATCCGAGAAATCCGCGCGGACCTCCGAGTTTTTATGTTTACGTCATTCTTCGTTCCCCTATTCATGGCCGCCCATCGGTCCATCAAGCCGTGCGCCGAAGCGCGCGGGCGAACAGCGAGGGCCTCGACCCGGCGGCGGTCCGACAGGGCCGCGCGGAAGCAGCTCTCCGCCGCCGGTGGACGAGCGCGGAAGCAGCCAGACTTTTCCGGCGGGCTCGGGGGCCGCCGACCGCGCTGAAATCCTTTCGGAGCTGCTGCCCGGCGCTCCAGACTTCCTCGAGGCGCAGCACAGCGAGCAGCTGGGGCTTCTTTTCGGGCCCGAGGAGTTCGTGCGCGAGGTCGGGCGCAGGCTCTTCATGCCCGTGTACGAGACTGAGCACTCCTGCCCCTGCTGCGAGGACGTCTGCGACCGCCACGGCCGGCACGCAGGCCCATGCGCGGGAGCCGGGGATCGCGTCCACCGGCACCACGGAGCAAGGAGCGTGGTCGGCACCTCTGCCACCCGCGCGGGCTTCAGCCCGACGCTCGAACAGCCTGGCCTCCTGCCGCCCCGCCCAGACGACGTCCACGTGAATGGGCGCCGGCCTGCGGATGTCTAGGTGGGAAAACAAGCCCACGCCGTCCCCGGATCACAGAGCGTTGGCAGCCGCTTTGGGCGCCAGCGTCGCCTCGGCGCGGCGCTGTGCGGACCCTAGCCGAAACTGCAGCTCGTTGCCAAGAGTTCAGCGCTTGGTCGTCGTCGTTGTCGTCGTCGTCCGCCGCCACCGCGGGCGCCTGCTGCCTTCGACTTCGCGGTGCCTTCGCCGCACATGCGGGCCGCCCGCGCCCTGGCGCTCCAGGAGGTGGGGCGCGCGGCGCAGGACTCGAGCTGGCCAACGGGAACCACCTCGACACAGAGCGGCAGTGCCAGAAGCAGGGGATCGTGTTCATCCCCCTCGTGGCGGAGCCCTCTGGAGGATGGGGCCCGACTGGCGCCGACACTCTGCGCCGGCTAGCCCGGGCCAGTGATCGGAGACGAGGCGAGGAGCTGGGGGCGGGCGCAGCACGCCTGTTCCAGCGCTTGTCCGTGGCGATCCGCCGGGCGACGGCGCGAGCAGTCCTGAGGAGGCACGCGGAGCTCCCCTCGGCTGGCGGAGCCGTTGCTGCCGCGCCAGGCTTGCTGCCAGAGTTTGGGGAGGACGACGCTTAGCGCGTCCCGCCAACTCTCCTTTTTCCGCCGCTTTTCTCGCCGCATCTTCCACCCGCCCGTGTTCGGGCAGCTAATGTGTATTTTGACTTTTTGTTGCGTGTATGCGGGTAAGGATCCCTTCTGCTCTCGTCTTTTTCGTTTGTCGTCGTCCCTTGTTCGTCTCTTCCGCTCCTCTCGCCTTCCCCGCTCCTCCTCTGCCGCTGGCGTCTCCTCCTCCCCTCGGGGGGCTATTCCTTGCGGCGGGTTCGTGAACGGTGCGCTCCCTGCTCCCGCTTGCGGAAGTTGGGGCGTGCGCCGATCGCCTCTCGTTGCCTTGCGTGGCCCCCTGCTCGCCCTTGTGCCCCTCGGGGCCTCCCCCGTCGTTGCTGCTGGCTGTTAGATCGACGTCCACGCATGCGCCGGTGCTGCTCTCCACGCGTGCGGCCCAGCAGGCAGCCCCGTCTCGGAGGCTCTTTTTCATGTCGAGGGATGTCTGGGCATGCGTAGTGGCGTGCGCTCGCAGAGCGAGCTTGCACTGGCTTGCGTGTATTCGCCGCCACGTCTGTTTGCAGAGGTTCCGCCACTTGCAATTATTGGCAGTCGGTCGTTGAATGCTACGGCATGCAGACTGTGCACGCTACCATTCCGACACCATCTGTTTCGGCTCTTTTGGCGGCCTGCATTCAGGCGGCAGGCTTTTCTACATTACCCCGCCCTGGCCGGTGTACTTGCGAGCGCCCAGCCCTGGCCAGATGTGGCCTCAGCGAACCTTCCTGTGCCCCCCGAAAAAAAGAACAGCTACGGTGCCCGGCTTGTCCTCTCCGCTGTGAAAGGAGCAGCGGCGCGCCAACCGATGATGCAGTCACACCAGCCCTTCCCGGAGGTTTACCCCCCCAAACTCCCTGAGTTTAGCTTTGTTTGGGGGGGGGCGGGGGGGCGCGATCGGTCACAGCGGCGCGCCAACCGATTATGTAGTCCCACCAGCCCTTCTGGGAGGTTTACCCCCCCAACTCCCTGAGTTTTTTTAGGGGGCGCGATCGAACAGAGCGCCCAAGATGGCCCAAGACAGCTTCAAGAGGGTCTTCGATGCTCCAAGATGGCCTCTAAGATGGCTCAAGATAGCCGACGATGGTGTAATAGAGCTTCCGACATACCTCCAAAAAGGCCGACGAGGGCCACAAGATGGTTTCAAGTGCTGTCGGAGCCCCCATCAGGAAACCCCAAGAGGCCCAAATCCTTCAAACACAAGAAGGCAAGTCAATGGTTTTGGCCTCCTAGCCTGTTCGCTTCCGATGCACTTTACAGGCCACAAGATGGCCCCAAGATGGCCCAAGAGAGGCCCAAGAGGGGCCCAAGCGGTCCCCCAGGCGGCCCCAAGACTGGCCCCAGAGCGCCCGAAAAGCGACCCAAGAGGCAACCTTGATGGCCCCCGTGGGGAGCGGGGGGGCTAACATCGAGGACCCCCCCTCTTTGATCGATGACCGTCGAGATGGCCTCAAAAGGCACTCGAGGGCTCCCAAGGGACCCCCAAGGGGCTCCAAGCGGGTTTCAAGAGGGCCCCAAGAATTCCCAAAAGAGACCCAAGAGGACCCCGAGATCCCCCGAAAGAGTCCCAAGAGGGCTCCAAGAGGCAATTTTGAGGGCTCTGTCCTTGTCCTCGTTGTCCTCCTCCTCTTCGTCCTCGTCCTCGTTCTTGCCCTCATCGTCTTCCTGTTCCTTTTCCTCCTCTTATTCTTCTTCCTCGTCGTCGTCGTCGTTGTCGTCGTCGTGGCCGTGGACGTGGTCGTGGTCGTGGTCGTGGCCGTCGTCGTCGTCGTCGTCGTCGTCGTCGTCGTCGTCGTCGTCGTCATCGTCTTCGTCGGCGTCGTCGTCGTGTTCCTCATCCTCCTCCCACTCTTCCTTCCCTCGCCCCCATGTGGGCCTCAGGGATGGCCCGAAGAGGCCCTTCAAGGACACCCCCTTGCTGAAGCCATCCTCGCTCCTAGAGATCTCGCTCACCATGGTTGCCCGCTCTGCGTCACTACATGCGTCTCTTCGTCACTTCTCCAAACAACAATCGTGGCTGGGTTGGCATATGGGCTGGTGGAGATAAGCGAAGCGTGAAAAGTGACATTATGATAAACACGTGGAATACCGAACAGGGCCCATTCGCACCACGGCGCGCGCCTTGCTTCCTGGGGGCGCTCGCCTGCGGAACGCCCCCGACGGCCCGATGCGTGTCGCAGCCGACAGCGCGGCTGGTGATACGGTGCAGTCTCGACGGGTGGGCGTGACGCACCCGACCGTCAAGGCAAATCGTAGCAGCACGTGAAATGAGGGCTGGCGGACATCCTCACCATCATCATCATCATCATCATCATCATCATCATCATCATCATCATCATCATCATCATCATCATCATCATCATCATCATCATCAAGATCATCATCGTCATCATCATCATCATCATCATCATGAGCAGCAGCAGCGTGATCATATGTCATTACTATCATGAACATAATCGTCATCATCGCCCTCGTCATCAGCACCGTGATTGCACGTGATCCGAAAAGGCGTGGCCCTCATGTGCACAATCAGATGAACCACGAGCCCCCGACCAGTGAGACGAGAGCGAGTACTGGGCGCGCGTCGGCAGGAAGCCCTGCACGCGGCGCCTGGCCACCTCCGAAATGACGGCTGGGGCCACGCGTTACCCGGCGCCCCGGCCAGAAGCAGGGTTCGGGGGCTCCTGGTCGGGCCTCTGCTTCTATGAAGGGGCCCTGGGACACACAAATAAATGCACACAAATACAAGGATTCCCCATATTTTCCCATAGTTTCTGGGTTTCTGTCTCCCCCCCCACTTCCCTTATTTTCCCATATTTCTGGGGAATCGACGATTAATTGTGTCTGTGTGTTTTTTTCCTTCCTGATTCTAGCCGAGCGCTGCCGTGAACGTTCTGGAGGATGGGCTGGCCTCGATGGTACAAACGTGTAGAGGTGGTATCCAACTCTGCAGCAGGCGCCCTCCCCAAGGATGTGGAGGCGGTGCCAGAGAAAGAGAGAGAGAGAGAGAGACAAAATGTCTGTGTGCGCATGATGATGGCTCTCTGTGCATGTATGTTCCCCACAATGTGCGTGTACTTGCGGGCTCTTGCTTCAGCTACCCGAGGGAGTTCGATGGGCCAATTTTCCACCACCACTACCATAGGTAGGACGGGGGAGAAGGGAAAATAGGGAGGTCCTCCTCCTCCTCCTCCTCCTCCTCCTCCTCCTCCTCCTCCTCCTCCTCCTCCTCCTCCTCCCTCTCCTACCTATGGCAGTGGTGGTGAAACATCGGCCCATCAGGATTGGGTGGGTCTGCCGAGGTTCCGCCCGGTGCCCGGCTGGTGGCCACTCGTGAACGCCTCGCGGGCGCCCCGTGCAGTGGGTCCGCCGGCAACCGGTCGTGAGCGCCCCGTGCCCTGGGCAGGCCCGCCAGGGCTTCGCCCGGTGCCCGCCCGCGTCCGCCCGCGGGCGCCTCTCGCGGGCGCCCCCCTCGCTAGCCCGCCTGGGCCTCGCTCGCGGTGCCGGCCCGCGGCCGTGCGCGGGCGCCGCGCGGGCGGCGGCGCAGCCTGCACGGCACAGCGTGCCCCACAGAGAGTGCACCGCCGATGGCTCGCGCCACGCAGGCTTCTGCACACAGAGAGTTCGCCACACGGTGTGCACAGCGCAGCTGCCGCCACGCAGCCTGCACGGCGTGTCTGCCGGCGTGGGCCCCAAGCAGGGCGCTCTTGCGCCGTGGGTGTGCCAGCTGCGTGGCGCACGCCCTGTGGTGCCATCTCTCTCGTCTCGGCTGCGTGGTGCAAGCTGTGCGGCGTAAGCTGCGAGGTGTGGGCTGTGTGGTGCAAGCTGCGTGGTGTGAGCAACGTGGCGACAGCTACGTGGCAGAAGCTGTGCGGTGCAGGCTGCGCAGCGCCACCTGCGCTGTGCCGGCTGCGTGGCGCCAGCTGTGCGGCCGCCCAGCGCGCGAGGCGCCCACGAGGCGCCGCCCACGGGCGGCCACGAGGCGGGCACCGGGCGAGACCTCGGCACACCCGCCCAGCGCACGAGGCGCCCACGAGGCGCCCACGGGCGGGCGCCCGTCGAATCCTCGCGGCGCGCCCACCCAGCGCACGAGGCGCCCGCGAGGCGCCCACGGGCGAGCAGCAAGCGAGGCCTCGGCACACTCGCCAAGCGCAGGCGCTCACGAGGCGCGCACGGGCGCTCACCAACCGGGCACCAGCCGAAAATCGGCACTCCCAGAAAACCACTCAACGAAGAGCAATGAGAGCCCCGAGGTGCAAGCACTGCTGGGGAAATAGCATATACCATGTAGATTGCACCGCGTCCCTGACGCAGCCTAGCTTACACCAAAAGGAGTACACGACATAGCTTGCTGCGCGTAACATCCACCACCTAGCTTGCGCCACATAGCTCACACAGCTTAGCTTGCCCCACATGAATTACACAAAACAGCTTGCACCGCTAGCTTACACCCATTGCTTGCACCGCACACATGGCCCACACCACGTAGATTACACCACACAGTGCAAATACCCGCATTGCAATACACAATGTTTGGAACCCCCTCTGTCAAACATATACGGGGCACGGGAACTCGCAACTCCCCGTCTAAGACAGCACCTCTTCTTCACTGTTTCCATATCGCCAGATTTACTGACGCCGCCCAGGGTCAGACTCGCGAAAGAACAGCGATGGGCAACTGATCACACAGTGGTGGTCGCGATGCTTCTTTGGTGTCGCATGTGTCTTGTTAGGCCTGACAGCCATACTGGCGTCCTTAGTCTGAAACGCCCAAAGCTAACGATAGCGTGTATTTTCGGGGCGAGGTCGCCCCGCCCCCAGACCTCTTTTTCTTGTCCCTCTCAACGAACTGGACGCGGCGGCCTGATCAGGCATGGCATCTTGACGTGCCGCAGAGGAAAAGCAGAAGCTCTTGAAGGTGAGGCCGACTGGCTGCGACGCAAGGCGTGAGATACCAAGCGGGACAGCGTGAAACCGACCAAGACAAGCGACCCGCAGAGTGAGGCTTACGAGGAGAGGGAGCTAGAGGCTAGAGAAATCTCGGCTCAATCATCGCGGACCGTCTCAGTCTGAAGGTTCTTGAAGCTCTCCACGGGCACGTGCTGCACCAGCGTGAACGTCTTGTCGGCGGCATCCTCGTCCTCATTCCGCTTGCGAGCCATGCGCACCCGAATTCGCTTCGGGATGTTCCTGATGCCGTTGCTCCAGACAAACTTGTTCAGCTTCGTGTCGATGCGCACGTCCTTCGTCGACATTGCACGGGTCGCAAACTTCCGGATCTCGCGGATCGCCCTGGTGGCGCGCTTCTTGAACTGAACCTTGTGCAGCAACTTGTGCATGTGGATCGTGTAATCCCTCGTGACCGGCTCCTGACCCTTTCGGCCCTTCTTCGTGCCCGGCGCCATCTAGGCGAGCGCGGCCGCTTCTGCTGTGCCGTTCCACCGCGTTCCCGAGCCCAGCCGAAGCCGCTCGGAGGGGCCTCGAGCCAAGACGGCCTGAGCCAAAACGGCCGCGGCATATTTGGCTAGAAGGAAGCGAGTCATGAAGGAAACGGGCCCCAGGACACACAAATAAATACACACAAATAAAAAGATTCCCCGTATTTTCCCACATGTTCTGGGTTTCTGTCTCCCCCCCCACTTCCCATATTTTCCCATGTTTTCTGGGGAATCGAAGATTAATTGTGTCTGTATGTTTCCTTTCCTCCTGAATTTGGCCGGAAGGAAGCGCGTCGTGAAGGCAACGGGCCCCTGCACCTCGGGGCCTCCCCCGTGGAGCAGCGCTTCGTCCCGAGTCGCTTGCTGACGGCCCCGGCGTCCGCGAGGGACCCTGAGGGTGGTCGAAGGCGGCGAACAAAAACCTCAGGAGGCGCGTTTTCCCTCCGGACCCGCTCGCCTCTTGGCTCTGGACGCCTGAAAAGGGGTACGCTTGTTGGCTCTGGCTCGCTTCTTGGCTCTGGACGCTTGAAAAAGGGTACGAGGCTTGGACCCTGAGGGTGGTCGAGGGCGGCGAAAAAAACCTCAGGAGGCGCGTTTTCCCTCCGGACCCGCTCGCTTCTTGGCGCTGGACGCCCGAGAAGGGCACGAGGAGAATGGGAGCGATGCCCAACAGCCGATGTAGTCCACAACCGGCAGCGGCCGCTGATAGGCAGGCGGCCTTCTGCCTCACCGACAACGAGCCCTTGTTCAGAGCGGACAAGAACTGCTGTTGGACTTGGTGCCTATTCTTTACAAACGTACTCAGCGGCTCCGTGTTGGCAGAAGTAAGGGCGTCGGACAACATACTACCACCACTACTACTACTACTACCACTACTACTACTACTACTACTACTACTACTACTACTACCACCACCACTACTACTACTACTACTACTACTACTACTACTACTACTACTACTACTACTACTACTACTACTACTACTACTACTACTACTACTACGACTACTACGACTACTACTACTACTACTACTACGACGACGACGACGACGAACGACGACGACGACGACGACGACGACGACGACGACGACGACGACGACGACGACTACTACTACTACTACTACTACTACTACTACTACTACTACTACTACTACTACTACTACTACTACTACTACTACTACTACTACTACTACTACTACTACTACTACTACTACTACTACTACTAGGGTTAAACCTCTCCTTCGTGTCTACTAAGAATGAAAGGGTAAGGGTAAGGGTTCGGGTTCGGGTTCGGGTTCGGTTCCACACAATCAGTTTAAACCACATAGACTAACATAGAATAGTCGGAATTTAATCGTACACGAAGCAGGAGTTCGGAAACCCACAATTTCGCCATTCGCTGATCGGAAAACAATACAGGGGCTATAGAGCTAATAGTACACGAAGATGAGGTTCGGAAGCCCACTGATTTTAATAGTACACGAAGAAGGGGTTCGGAAACTCACAATTTCGCCGTTCGCTCGTAAGAAAACAATACAGGGGCTATAGAGCCAATAGTACACGAAGGTGAGGTTCGCAAACCCATGGTGAAAAACGAGAAAACGGCGTTCCTCTTTTCCTGCTCGCTTTCTTCTTCCTCATCCTCCTCCTCCCCCTCCTCCTCCTCCCCCTCCTCTTCCTCCTCCTCCTCCTCCTCCTCCTCCTCCTCCTGCCCGTCCCCCACCTCCTCCTCCTCCTCCTCCTCCTCCTCCTCCTCCTCCTCCTCCTCCTCCTCCCTCGTCCCCCTCGTCCCCCTCCCCCTCTCCTCCTCCTCCTCCTCCTCCTCCTCCTCCTCCTCCTCTCCTCCTCCTCCTAACCATCACGAACCAGAAACGAATAAAACCATAATGCCTTCCCGAATAAAACCAGAACGACGTCCTTATGAAAACCCACTCTCAAGTGGACCAGAGGGCCACGATCCTCGTGAGGGGTGTTCCGGCATTGGGCGTCGGTGGGCCGTCGGCAGCGCTCCACATTGGGTCAGGGCCACGATCCATGTGAGAGGTGTGCCGAACTTCAGCGTCGGGCGGCGATCCAAATGTGGCGAGGTCTACGATCCGTGTGAGGGGTGCACCGATATTGCTCATCGGTGGGCCGTCGGCAGCGCTCCCAGGTGGGCCAGGACACGATCCTCGTGAGTGGCGTGCCGGAATTGGACGTCGGTGGGCCTTCGGCAGCGCTCCCACTTGGACCAGGGCCACGATCCTAGTGAAGTGCGCGCCGGAATCGCGCGTCGGAGGGCCAGGCCCACGATCCTCGAGAGGGTTGTGCCGAAACGAAGCGGCTGGCAGTGGCGGTTGCTCCAAATCCGACGTCGACACGAAGGACAGGTGTAAAACTGTCGTTTTTTTGTTCGCTTCTAATACGAATACAATCTACAGCCTCTACAGCGAATAGTGCACGAAGGTAAGCATTGGCGCGACAGACACGAAGGCCAGGTTTGAAACTAATGTTTTCGTAATTCCCCTGGTAGGAGTTCTATTAGGCCTGATACACAAGAAGAGTACACGAAGGTGAGGTTTGTAGCGACACGAGGACCAGGTGCAACCCTACTACTACTACGTCTCGTGCACCACATCACCACGGCTCAACCGCCTTGGGATGAGCGTCCTTGTGGCTGCCTCATTTCCAGTATGTAGCGAGCACCTCTTCTGGGTGAAATGGCGGGTCTGACGTGCATGCAGCGGCGGGCGCTTATCCGAGGGCAGCTGGTCCCTACGGCCCAGAGTAAAACGACAGCGGCGGCGCAGCAGCACACGGGGCGACCCCAGTACCGGCATCGAGGCCAACGAGCGCAAGTAGGCGCGAGAAGAGGTCAGGATGGCAAGCCAAAATGGCTAGGCGCACAGCGGCGGCACGGCAGCACACGGGGCGACCCCAGCACCGCCAACGAGGTCAACGAGCGCAAGTAGGCGCGAGAAGAAGCCAGGATGTCAAGCCAAAATGGCAAGCCAGAATGGCTAGGCGCACAGTTGACCGCGCGAAGAGCGGAGGCCTAAGCACCAGGGCCTGCGGCGCGAGGGGGGGCACCACTGTGGGCGCACCCGCGCAAGCTGGCAAGGCAGCGTTGCTAAAGCTGGAGCGTAAGCGAGCATAATTACAGGCTGAGCATCCTTGAGAGTGGCAGGCTCGGGATCTTAACATGGACTCACGTAGCCTCCCCGAGTAGAAGTAAACGATGCTGGGGGCCTGCAGCGTCTCAGCGTTCAGGCGGACTGGCCTGTTCCTTGCGCAATGGCTGCGAAGACCTGCGACGGCAGCGCTTGAACTTCTCCTCCGAGGTCGCCACTGCCGCCCGCCTGCCCTGGGGGCCCCAAGATCTGGCGCTCGAGATCCTCACCGAGGGCCACGTTCAGGGCGGCGACATTAGGGATCCGCTGCGGGAGCGGGTCAGTCGGCGGCGGCGGCGCCGCAGGGGGCGCCGTCAGCGGCGGCGGCGGCGGGGCCATGATGGCCGCCGGCGGGGCTCCAGCAGGCGGTGGTGGCGGGTCCTGGCTGCCGCGGGCCGAGCCCGCGGGGGGGGCGCTGGCGGTGCGGACGGGAGTGGCACGCGGGGCGACCCCGGTACCACCCCCGCCGCCCGTGAGGCTGCCCTCCCGGAAGTTGTGGCGGCGCTCATGGGCCGCCAGATCCTCGTGCGCGGTCGCCAGGCGCTGCCTCCTGGCCTTCTTCCGCTGGTTCTTGGTGTAGCCCGCCCACTCTGGATCGTTCAGCCCCCGAGCAACCTGCGAGCACAGGTCGGACCACTTGAACTCGGGCAGGCTGTCCCAGGAGAGCCCCTCCATTAGCACGTAGTGGCCCTCCCACTGCGGCTGCTGCGGAGCGTAGCGCTTAAAGACGGTGCCCACCGCCAGCGGCTCGACCTTGGGCAGGTGCTTCAGGAGGTTCACCGCGCTGAGCACCGCTACCCCCTCCTCCTTGAGCTTGTCGCAACGCAGCAGGGCCTTCAAGTCGCGGATATCCTCCTCGGGGGAGTCCGCGTGCATGTAGTACGCGCGGGGCGGGCTCTGCTCTTCCTCTATCATCTCGATGCAGACGCCGCAGGAGGTCGCGTAGCGCGCACCACAATGGCAGTACCAGCGCTGGCCCGTCTCCCCGGCCGCCTCCTGCGCGCAGGTGCGTCCAGCGATCCGAACGGATCACCCAGCAGCATCCATTGGGATTGTCCCAGGTCTTGTTGGCCGAGCACTTGTAATACATGTTGAACGTAAAGCCCTTGCCACGGTAGAGCTGGTCCGTGTAGTCGCCCATCCGTCGGTGGGCCTCCTGCGCCATGGCGTTGCCCTGGCACTCCTCCTTCCACGCACGCTTGTGTCCCAGGTGCGCGTCCACGACCCCCGAGGCTTCCAGGAGGCCCTTCTTCAGCCTGCCCACATCATCCTCTGCCTCCGCATTCAGCGCGTCGAGCCACTTCTGGACCCCGTCCTGCGCCTCTGCGCCCTTCACCATGTCCTCTTTCTTCTCCAGGATGGGCCCCAGGCCCCCCAGCACGTGGGTGCGCATGGTCTCAAATTTGAGGACACCGCAGGCCCGCGCCATACGCTTCAGCGATTTCTTGGAGAGGCCGAGCCGCAGCAGGGGCTCGATATCCGCGACCTCCTCCACAGTCTTGGCGTTGGCCAGCTGGTGCTCCTGGCCCTCAACGTTGTTGTCGAGCGGTGAGTCGCCATCATCACCACGGGGAGGGTCTGCGGCGCCAGGTCCATCCTCGAGGGGTGGAGGTGGCGCGCGGGGCGGCCCCGGCACCACCTCCACCGCCATCGGGCGACCGACCTCCTGCGCCGCCGCTTCCGTGGCCGGGGGGGCGCCCGCGCTCTCGGGATCAATGCCCACCCCGACGCCTTCCGTCGCCCTCCGCAGGGCTAGCAAGCCGTCGTTGGAGAGCACGTACCCCACAAGCACGTCCATGCCCTCCTTGATGTGGTCGAAGCTCGCGCGGAACTTCGCCACGCGCTTGGCGGCGTGGTCGATGGAGCCAGCTCCCTTGTTCTGGCGCGCTGCGCGCGTCACGGCCTCGTGCTCGGTGGTGTTCTGCGCCGCCGCCACGCAGTGCGAGCACGTGTGCAGCTTGTATTGGCCTTGAACACCCTCTCGCAGCTTGGAGCACTGCGGGTTGTGCTCTGAAGCCTCGGTGTAGCGGCGCATTTCGCCACAGTTGAGCTCGTCCACGTACTCCACCACCATGACCTTAGAGTCATCCAGCGCTGCGCACTCCCGACACCAGCCCAGGCGCTGCGGCGGGGCCCAGTGCGCACCCATGCAGTGGACGTAGCCCGCCCCGACGTAGTCCACGTCCGTCATCATCTCAGCGCCCTCGAGCTCGGCAGCCGTGCCGCCGCTCGGCGGGGGGGCTTTGCCGCAGGCAGCCTCGTTGCTGCGACGGCGGTGGCGTTTGCCGCCGTGCCCGCTGAGGGCGCCCGTGGTCGCTGCACTCGGAGCCCCACTGGCGGTCTCATCGTCCATGGGGCGGCCGCCGTCGGCGTCGCTGCGCGCGCCTCGCCCGCCGTGGCCGCTCACAGCCTGCCCCCGCAGCTGGAGGTTGTGGAGCGCGAGGGTGATCGCGTCCAACCCGCGGCGCTGCTCCGCGGTGAAGTTGGAGTAGGTGGCCGCCGCTGCCAGGGCCGCCTTCGTCACTGGCACCACCGCCGACGTGGGCATCGCCGACGGCTCAGCAGGTGCCTTGGCCGTCGCCGTGGGGGCTCCGTCAGAGGCACCGTCAGAGGCAGCGGCGCTGGGGGCGGCCCCCGTACCGCTGCCTCCGTCGGCACCCTCGGCAGGCGTCGCCGACTCCGTAGGCAATGTCGGCGCCGTCCGAAATGTCGCCGCCTCCGACATCACGTCGAACCCCTCGTCCGAGATGTCGCTGCTCTCCGACGCGCTCACCTGCTGGCCAGGGCGCGGCGCAGGCCCCGCTTTGGGAGTGGGCGCGTCGGCCGCGTTGGAACCGCTGGCCTTCGCGCGCGCCTCGGACCTCGCCTTGGCCTTCGCCGCCAGCGCCTCGCGAAGGGGCGCCGCATCGCGGCTGGGCGAGTCGGCACGCGTCACTGCAGGCCACGGCATCGGCGCGGGCTTCGAGAACTTGGGCGCCATCACTTGGTCGGGAGGATGGCGCGGGAGGCGCAGCTCAAGAGATCGTGCGAAGCGAAACTTCAAGAGCCAAACAGCTGCCGAGGAAGGAAGGGGAGGGAGAGAGGCTGTACACCGAACCAAAATGGGGCGGCCGACTGCCAAGGCGGGGCGAAGATGAAAAGTTGGAACTAAAGGTTGAAACCAGCGGCTCCAAGTGAGCGGAGACCGATCCTTGAGCAGGCTGAAAACGGCCTGACCCCCGTTCGGGGCCCTGGACGGGTAGGAGAGGGGGGCGAGGAAACCACGTCGCGGGCGGGCGACAAAGCGGACGGCGGGCCGCCGACGATCCCAGGACCCGCGGGGCGCCCCCGATCTTGAACGCCTCTTGACGCCTCTTTTGCAAGTGGCCTCGGGCTGATGCTGCTGGCGAAACGATGGCCCATCGCGGACGGGTTGAGAGAGCAGCTCAAGACTATGAGCACAACGAAGGTGGCATGGCGGGAGCACAACGCGCACAAGGCTGGGTAACTGCACAACGCAGCGTGCAAAGTTGACATGACAAAGCAAGAGCGCATCATGCCCACTACGAGGGAACTATACAGTGCAGTACACACAGCTGACGTGACCACGGCTTTACAACTGATCAGGGCAGCAGGCAGGCAAGGGGGGGGGAAGGGCCAGGGAGCACACGCGAGTGGGAGGGAGCCACATCTAGTCAAGACCGGGCACTCGGGGCGACCCCGGCGCCCAGCCCGACTACGTCTTCCGTCGCCAGGGCAACCTGCTCAGCGATTTGGCCCTGCAGGGCGTTGGCCACTGCCGAGCGCAGGGACGAGCGCGCTGCGGGCCGTTCGGCCTCGGGCAATTCCCCTACGGCACGGCGCAGCCACGTCTCCGCCTCTGCGCCCCAGCGGCCATTGACATCGAGAACAAAGAGCACCAGGCCAGAAAATGGGTATCTACGGTGCTTCGCTTTTTCTCTGCGCTGCAGGGATGCCTGATGCGGCCGCCCCGTCTGGGCCACGGCCACCTCGTCCACCAAGCTGATGTCGAGACACACCCGGCCGTGGAGGCCTCGATGGTAGACGACGTCCAGTGTGGCTGCGCCCTGTTCTTCCGTGTGCCACTCTGGGATGACCTGCTCCACTAGGGCGTGATGGCCCACCCCGCGCAACCAGAGCGCCACGGCATCTCGAATGGCGTTGCGGCGGCGCACCGGGCCACCTCCCCGGGGGACGCAGCGGACGTCCACAGTGCGGCCACACGCCGGGCCGGCCTGCGCCGCCGCGCGAGCGGGCGCCGCCGGCCGGTTCTGGCGCGTGCACTCGGACTGCAGCAGCGGCAAGTGCATGCGCCTCTTGGCCGCAATGCTGAACGCGTGGTCGGCAAGGGGCGAAACCCCCTCGAAGTTATCCAACCGGGCGCCCGCTGAGGCTGAGCTGCCCGAGGCAATATGCACCGCCGCCGCCGCCGTCGCCGGCAGCGCGGCCAAGAACGTCTTGGTGGCGTGGTCCCGTACATGATGGGTGTACGTCTTCTGGTCCTTGCCCCTCCGCCCTTCCAAGAGGCCCTGCCAGCGATCGCCCTGGGGGCGACGGCCTCCTGCCAACCGTCCCTGCTCCTCGTCCGCCGCCGAGAGGGCGCGGCCAAGGCCCGGCCTCCGCCGAAAGAAGCCAATCGTTGTCGTCTCGCGGAGCTCCCGGGCAGCCGCGTGGATCCCAGCATCCCAGGGCGCCAGGAGGGCAGCGGGGCCGCGCTGTTCGGCGCTGCCACAGCCCAAACCTCCGTCGCTGACCTTCATGAAGATCTGCTCTCGGGGGGCCGCCGTGACCCCCAGAAGGGCGTTGACGAAGGCGACCGCTCCGTCATCCACCCGGCGGCCCCGCGCCGCCGTGAGCGGAAGCGCGCGCTGGATGTGGGCGCAGGCGCCCCTCGACCAGATCCGCATCAACTGGAAGGCGTCAAAGGCAGACAGCCCGTGCGTGCGGAGCATCAAGAGCTCCCGGAAGTAGCGGCCCTGCTTCTGGAGGAAGGCCTCGCCGCAGGGGAGTGGCACGGCGGCGCCCGGGGCGACCCCGGCACCGCCAGCCGGCGCGAGGCCACCCGCGTCGAGGTCCTCCGGGGCGGCAAAGTCCGTGAGCGGGACGCCCCGCCAGTCCGTATCCACGTCGTGGTTTGTGTAGGCCAGAGTAGACCCTACCGCCTTGAGCTTCGGGACGCGGCACTGGGTGCACGTGCCCCGCGAACTCCGGCGGCAGGACAGCGCGAGGGTCCGGGACCAGATCTGGGTCTTGGACATCTTCAGCTTCATCCCATGGGCTTCGATGCGGGCTCGCCAGGCATCCAAGCCGCGGAACACAGCGCCCTCGGTGCCCACGAAGTACGCGTCGTCCAAGAACGCCAGGCAGTCCCCCTCGACGTCCACCGC